AAAAGATATATAGAAAGACTGTAATGGTTCTAAATTGTTTTGTATAATCCTTAAAGGGAATATTTTTTATTAGTGCATTCTGTCAACACCAATCTTGGTATCTTCAGATTGGGCTTGATTTACTTAGCATCACAAAGTCCTTAACCAAGAATCCAGAAGACTATCCTGATAAGAAAAGTCTCCCTCATGTCCAAGTGGCACTTCGCATGAACTCTCGAGGAGGGAAGAAACTGCGGCAAGGAGATACAGTACAATATGTGATTTGTGAGGTTAGTGTAAACATGAAGTTCTATTAGTTTAAATCATGAGGCTTTTAATAGTATTATGGTTCTAAATTGTTTTGTATAATCCTTAAAGGGAATATTTTTTATTAGTGCATTCTGTCAACACCAATCTTGGTATCTTCAGATTGGGCTTGATTTACTTAGCATCACAAAGTCCTTAACCAAGAATCCAGAAGACTATCCTGATAAGAAAAGTCTCCCTCATGTCCAAGTGGCACTTCGCATGAACTCTCGAGGAGGGAAGAAACTGCGGCAAGGAGATACAGTACAATATGTGATTTGTGAGGTTAGTGTAAACATGAAGTTCTATTAGTTTAAATCATGAGGCTTTTATAGTATTTAAAAAAAACAAAAAAAACATTGCTAATGAAGTTCAGTAAGAGTAATTAATATTTTAATTTTTCAATACATGATTTGCCAAAGAAACATTTTAATATTAGTGTTTTTTTTTTTTTTTTTTGTTTTTTTCTCCCAAGGAACCAGTTTGCTTTATTGCTAGTAGTGGTGTAGGCTTTTGAGTGCATTTTAGTTCTCTTTTATACACTAAAGATTATCTTATTTTGAGATTTCATCTGTGGTAAAATACATAATTGTAAAAAATTATTATTAATATGTTATTAAAAAAAAAAAAAGAATGTTCTGTTACCATATACATTGCATTACCTTAACTATAAAAGCTGTACTTGATGTTTTACAGGATGGAAGTAATTTGGCTGCCACACAAAGAGCTTACCATGTTGATGAGTTAAAAACCAACTCGACTTTAGTCATAGACAAGAACTACTATTTAGCTCATCAGATACATCCTGTAGTTTCTCGTCTTCTTGACCCCATTGAGGGAACAGATGCAGCCAGAATTGCCGAATGCCTTGGTGAGTTGGCTAGAACTTAAGAAAAATGAAAAAAGGAAGAAATTCTTAAGTTAATAACCATATATATAAAGACCTTTCTCAATACAGTAGATATTCTCTCTGCCTATATTACATGTTGCGAAAGAAAAATCATGAAGCAAGTTCTCTTGTCTGTTATTCACTACATTTTAATTTTAAAGAATAGAATATATATTGAAATCTGAACTGTTGATTTTAACTGAATTTATTTCTAGGCCTTGATCCTTCTGGATATCGAGTTTCAAAGCAGTATGGACATGGTGAAGAAGAGGAAGACTTGTCAACAACAGAAATACCGGACGAAGAGCGGTATCGCATGTGTGAGAGGTTCACTTTCCAGTGCCCTGGGCCAGAGTGTGACACCATCATCACCATGGACTCGGCCTTCAGAGGAGTGGTTAGTTTTTATTCTCGTACGATGTTTGTTTATGGTGTGGTCATATTAATATTGTTTATTTGGTGGTTTTAATCTTAGAAAATGGCCATAGCAAATACTGATAACAAGGATGAAAGCGATGTAATTATGTCAAAAGCTGAATGCTGATTTACTAATGTTAATTCTTGTTTTACAGGGAACTGGGACGAATTTAGAGGTGGCTCTGCAAAACTGTCCAAACCCAAAGTGCAATTTCCCAATTTATTCTCGCCTTGCACCAATTATCAACAAGCTGAACTTAGACATAAGAAAACACATCATTAAGTACTACAATGTAAGTGCAGTATCGGTAACTCTTTGATGTAGGAAGAAACTATGTATATTTCAGTATTAATTATTTTATTATACATTAATATATCACTATATTTGAATTTTACCAATCCACTCGATTATTTACATTAATAAGAAGCTTAAAACAACCCCTGTCAACTATCATATAAATGCAAAAGCAAAATCTAGTCCCTGATGGTCGACTCCCCTTAATAACAGGGTTGGCTAATCTGCGAAGACCCTGGGTGCAGCAACAGAACTCGCCGCATTCCCCTGCGATTCTCCCGAGGATTCCCGATCTGCAACTCCTGCGAAAAGGGAGTTCTTTTCAGAGAGGTAAGTAATTTTTGGAGGCTTACATTTCATATTATGTCTTCATTTTGAATTATGGTGTATCTTAGTCAAGTGTAATTTGGTTTGTGGTTAATAAGTTATATGATTTTATTTTTCCTTCCAGTACACAGAGTCTCAGTTGTATAAGCAACTGTGTTTCTACGATTATATCTTTGACTTCCAAAAAGCTTGCCAGAAAAATAAGGATGAAAGTAAGTACTTGGAAAGATTTTGCTATGTTGTTTTTATATATTTTTTATTGTGTTTTTTTATATATTTTTTATTGTTTTTTATATTTTATTGTTTTTTTATATTTTTATTGTTTTTTATGTATTTTTATAGTTTTTTATGTATTTTTATAGTTTTTTATGTATTTTTTATTGTTTTTTATGTATTTTTTATTGTTTTTTTTTTATATTCTTTTTATTGTTTTTTTAATATATTTTTTATTGTGTATATTTAACTGATAGGTATTATGTAGTTGTTATTGTTGCAAGTGTGATTAAAACAAATAGTTATCTTGTTGTTATCTATCTTTTGTTTGTTTTTTACAGGAATTCGTGATGAAACTCTAAGAAAAGCCTACAACATTCTACAGACAGAAGTACAGAAAAAGTTGAAGCTCAATTCATATTCAGAAGTTAACTTAACCAAGCTGTTTGGAAGCCTCATGGCCAAACCACAGTCAAGAGGATCCTGAAAACAAAGGGGCAGTAACCAGGAAAATTAATCGTGCAAAAAAAAAAAAAACTCAGGAAAAAAGGATCCTAAATTTCATTAATTATTCATGAACTACAAGCTTCTGTTAGGAAAAGGAAACTACTAAATAGACAGAAAAATGGGGGGAATGTTAGTACTTTAAAGGTTTCCTTGGGAATTGTGCATTAGCATTAGGCTGTATAAAAAGATAGAGGTAAATTTTTGAGTGAATTTTGTGTGGTAAATAGGTTATAGGTTCTTAAAACCTTGAAGTCTAATATATGTATGTCACACAATTCCTTTCTTCAGCAATCTATATATTATTTATCAAGGTTTGCAAAGCTTCAAGTTGATTTTTTTTTTTTGTTTTTTTTGCTGAGTTGCAATTATCACAACATATTGTAAATTAATAATTCGAGTGAGTCAGTTTTATTTGTAATGTCCTTATTGATTTCTAGAATATGTTCATACACAATATGGTTTTTAGAAGCTCCTTGAAGCCATTGTAAACGGTTATGCAAGTCTGAAGTGAAACATTGTAAAAGAGAAAACAAGAATAATAATTTTACCATGTGATGTAAATATTTTATAGATATTATTTAGAAGAAAAAAAAGATTAAAATATACTTAGTAAGTGTAAACTTTAGAAGTTATTAGATTGAATTTGCTAGAAAAGGAAGTTTTATTTCAACCATGTCACACTCGTCATCTTCTTCTCCTCCCTTCTTCCTTCTTCTTCTTCATCTTCTCCCTTCTTCCTTTTTCCTTCTCCTCTTCCCTCTCTTCTTCTTCCTCTTCTTCTTCCTCTTCTTCTTCCTCTTCTTCTTCCTCTTCTTCCTCTTCTTCTTCTTCTTCTTCCTCTTCTTCTTCCTCTTCTTCTTCCTCTTCTTCTTCCTCTTCTTCTTCCTCTTCTTCTTCCTCTTCTTCTTCCTCTTCCTCTTCTTCTTCCTCTTCCTCTTCTTCTTCTTCTTCTTCTTCTTCTTCCTCTTCCTCTTCCTCTTCCTCTTCCTCTTCCTCTTCTTCTTATTCCTCTTCTTCTTATTATTCCTCTTTTTATTCCTCTTCTTATTCCTCTTCTTCTTCTTATTCCTCTTCTTATTCCTCTTCTTCTTCCTCTACTTCCTCCTCTTCTTCTTCTTCCCCTTCTTCTTTTTCCTCTTCTTCTTCCTCTTCTTCTTCCTCTACTTCCTCTTCTACTTCCTCTTCTTCTTCTTCTTCCTCTACTTCTTCTTCTTCCTCTTCCTCTTCTTCTTCTTCTTCCTCTTCTTCCTCTTCTTCTTCTTCCTCTTCTTCTTCCTCTTCTTCTTCCTCTTTTTCTTCTTCTTACTCCTCCTCTTCTTCCTCTTCTTCTTCCTCTTCTTCTTCCTCTTCTTCTTCCTCTTCTTCTTCCTCTTCTTCTTCCTCTTCTTCTTCCTCTTTTTCTTCTTCTTACTCCTCCTCTTCTTCCTCCTCCTTTTTCTCCTTCTCCTTTTTCTCCTTCTCCTTTTTCTCCTCCTCCTCCTTCTCCTTTTTCTCCTTCTCCTCCTCCTTGTTTTTCTCCTTCTCCTCCTCCTCCTTCTTTTTCTCCTTCTCCTTCTCCTCCTCCTTCTTTTTCTCCTTCTCCTCCTTCTTTTTCTCCTTCTCCTCCTCCTTCTTTTTCTCCTTCTCCTCCTCCTCCTCCTTTTTCTCCTTCTCCCCCTCCTCCTTCTCCATCTCCTCCTTCTTCTCCTTCCTTCTTCCTTCTCAACTTCATCACCTCTCCCCCCACAACCTTCTTCATCAACTACCCAATCCTCCTTTATTACTACTGTCTTATTGCCCACTACCTCCCTCAACGCTACTCCCTCTTCTACACGTCCCCGCCCTTCTACTACCCCCATCTCTACAAATATCTTAAATACTCTATTTAGCCTAGCCAAATGGGACCGATTTTTCGTGATCCCTCCCACAACTCTCTACTCTGACAACACTTCTCTTCCAGCACGGTCTCCAAAAACAAGTAGGCAAAGTTTCTTTTCGTAGCCGACCCGATAGTTCCCATCTCGTCATAGTAATATCTGAAAACCAAGCTATAGCATTATCAACTCTAACTAATCTCTCTGGTAACCC